CCCCATGGCAGTCGCTCTCGTGAGGGCCCACCCCCCAGACCGGAGGCCCCCGAACCGAGGTCGCCCCCGCGGGCGCAGGCACGGCGGGCGGACCTCCCAAGGGCGGAACTCCCGACGGCTCTGCGGCCGAGGGAAAGGAGAAGGTGGCACCCGGGGCGGCGGGCGGCTCTGGCGGCGGAGGAGCGGGGAGCGGAGGCGGCTCGAGCAGCGGAGACGGCGCGTACGCGAGGCCGGCTGAGGGCGCGGGCACGGCGGGGAGGGCGGGGGGGCGGGACGGCGTGGGAGCGTCGGCATCGCGGGGGGCAAGCAGCGGAGGCGGGGCAATGGAGGAGGGAGGCGGCGGCTGGGCAGCGGCAGGCGGCGGCGCCGACGGCTGAGCGAACGGCGGCTCGGGCAGCGACGGCGCGGGCAGCGGGGCGCTCAGGGCCGCGATGGGCACCGAGAGCGGCGGCTGTCGCGGCGACGGCGGCGGCATGGTGTCGGGCGGCGGCGGACCAGCGCGGGCGGGGAAGCGGAAGCCGGGGGTGGGCGCCGGCGCCGCCAAAGGGAGACTCAAGGCTGGCTCCTTGGCAAAGAGAGTGGGCGCGGGCAAGGCTGGCCGTGGCGACACTTGCGCGTCGGGCGTGGCAGGCAGAGGGAGAGGTAGAGGTGCGGCGGTCGGCGGGCGGGTGTTGGAGGCGCTGCACATGGGCGAGGAGGGCACGCTGGAGGAGGGCGCCCTCGTGAGCGTCGAGGCGAGCCCGCTCTTCACCGGCCGACTGACGAGCCCCCCCGCCGGCGTCGCGCCGGCCGGAGAGGCGCTGCTGGGCCCTGGCTTGCTCGGCGGGCGGGAGGGGACGCGCACGCTCGGCGTGCGGTCGACGAGGCCGGCGGCGGTGGCGTTTGGCGAGTTGAGCATCGCGCGCGGGCTGGGCAGCACCGCGGTCGCCGCCTCCTCGCCGGCAAGGGCGAGCAGCGCGGGAGGCAGAGTGGGAGACATCATGAGGCGGCAGACGGGCACGTCGCGCCGCTTCGCCTCGATCAGCGAGAGGCGGAAGAGCGGCGTGAGCACGGGGTGCCCCTCCGCGTCGGTGCGCGGGTGGATGCGCGAGGTGCCCGTGAGGAGCACCGCATCGGCCGCCGCGTTGAGCTGCAGCCCGTAGTGGCGGCACAGCTGGGCCGCCTCCTCGCGCCCCTCGAGCAGCAGCATGCGGCTGAGGTCGAGCAGCGGAAGCTCGACGCTCGAGCCGGGCTTGGGGGCGAGCGAGCGGTTGATGGCAGCGATGGCGCCGCCGCGCACGTGCTCGAGGTGCTTGTGCATCAGGCACGCCATCAGGTAGGGCGCGCGCTTCAGCTCGCGGAAGAAGCCGCCAAAGTCACCGCCGTGCACCGCCGCGTGCACGCGCAGAGCGCGCTGCATCAGCGGCGCGCAGAGCACCTCCGGCGGCAGCTCCGCCAGCCGGCCGAAGAGCACGTCCGGATCGGCGGCGGAGACGACGTAGTAGGCCTGTGAGCTGAATGCACAGGCATCAGAGGCGGGAGGGCGGTGTCGTGCAGAGAGGCTCAGAGCACGCGTCAAGACGAGGGAGGCGAGTACAGTGAGCACGGCGGAGTGCGTGTCCTCTCGAGCGCTAGCTGGGAGACAAGACTCCGCCTTCTGCTTCTGGGCACGAGATATGGGGAGATATGGGGAGATATGGGAGACCAGACTCCGCCGTCTGCTTCTAGGCACGAGATATGGGGAGATATGGGGAGATATGGGGAGATATGGGGAGATACAAGGCTCCGCCGTCTGCTTCTGGGCACGAGATATGGGGAGATATGGGGAGATATGGGGAGATATGGGGAGATGTGGGGAGATCGTAGGCCTGGAACTCGACCTCGTTTGGGCAAGGGACTCCGTGGTGGCGCAGGTTCTCGTACAGCTGCTGCAGCCCTGCGAGGGCCTGCGTGTACATCTGCATGTTCATGCGCGAGTCGAACTTGGCGTCGTCGGGCGGCAAGTTGCGCACGCCGAGCTCGCAGCAGCGGTGCTCGACCATGATGTGGAAGCGCGTGCACTGCTCGAGTAGGTCCACCGCGACCTGCCGCGCCTGCAGGAAGGGTCCAGGAAGGGTCCAGGAAGGGTCCAGGAAGGGTCCGGTCCACCGCGACCTGCCGCGCCTCGATCGAGAAGGACGGCTGCTGCATCGTCAGCTCCTGCCGGATCTGGCGCAGCCGGTCGCGCACAAAGGACGCGACGCGGATGAACGGCGGCTCGCCCGGCACCCCCTCCCACCCGATCGCAGCCGAGTCGGCCGACGCCTCCCACGCGGCCGCCTCGGCGGGGCATGGGCCGGCGGGGTAGGCGGGGAAGCGGCGCGGCAGCACGACGCACAGCAGGTGCTCGACGGAGAGCGCGAGCGCCGTGATGGTGCGTATGTCGGAGGGCTTCCACACGCGCGCCGCGTCGTTGCGGTGGAACATCGTCACGAGCCACGCTGCGGCGGGCTCGCCGGAGATCGGGTCCGTCTCCATCAGGTTTGCGTTTGGGGCGATGCGAAGCCGCTCATGCGCCTCTTCGGCGGGGCACATCTCGGAGCAGAGGCCCCACCCGCCGCCGTCGGCATAGTCCCTCCCGTCGGGGCCGTCGTCACGCGAAGGCGCGAAGGCGAGGCTGGACCACGAGTAGGGTGGGGGCGTGTACCAGCCGAACGTGATGCCCGCGCTCCGCTGCGCCGCACTGCACGAGCCGTACCCGCACCCGTACCCGCCGCCGCTCGCGCCCCCCCCGCCAGGGGCGGGGCCCCCAACCCCAATGGCGGGCGGGGCGGCGGCCGTGAAGCGGGCGGCGCGCTGGTCCGCAGCCGCGCGGGAAAGGGAGTCCGCTCCCTTTGGCGCCAGGCGCGAGAGGGCCGGGGGGCCGACCGAGCCCGCGCCGCCGCCCGCCGCCGCGCCGCCCGCCGCCACGCCGCATGCGTCCGCGCCGCCGGAGACGGGAGCGGCGGCGGCGGCGGCGGCGGGCGAGGCCTTGGCTCTCTTTGGCGCTTCGCTGCCGCCGACTGGAGATGAGCGCGCGACAGCGGCGGTGGGCGGTGGCGCGGCGGCGGGCCGCTTGAGCTTCGAGCTCGGCTGGGCGCTGCCGCCGCCACCGCACGCTGGCTTGGCGACCCGAGGACCGGGCATCGGCCTGGTCCTGTCTTGGACATGTACATGTGCCACAGGCTTGGCCGCCGGCCTGGCCATCAGAGCAGCCAGGCTGGGTGCGGGTACGGAGGCGGCCGGGGCGTCGGGGGCAGCGACGTAGTCGTTGAGACCGAGCGGCCCCTCCTCCTCCTCCTCCTCCTCCTCCCCCTCCTCCTCCTCCTCCTCGCCCCCAGCCTCCTCGCCCTCCTCCCACTCCTCCCCTCCCCACTCCCCCTCCTCGCCCCACCACTCCTCGCCCTCGCCCTCGCCCTCCTCCTCCGCGCCCTCCTCCTCCTCCTCCTCCTCGCCCGCCTCGTCGTCCGCCGCGGCAGCCTCGCCTG